TCTCAAGGGAAAACCAAAAACTTTAAGAGATGAATGCTAGTATGTTAAAAAGCACTTGGGGCAAGAATCATAAATTTATAAGAATGGAGCTTTACCAGACAGAGATTTTTTTAGAGTGCCTTTAGGATCAACTTTGTCTTTTCCTAATATTACGAAGGTGCCTGTTTCAGATATAATGTACCCTAAGCCTATAAAAACAGCTCCACTGTCCTGGGCATTTTTAAAAAGTGCTTTTAAGAAGTTCCCAAGAGATCAGGAAGACAAAACCATGCTTCCTGCTCATGCTGGAATCCAAAAGGTTGCAGTTGTTTCAGAATCACAGCAGTAGAGAATCCAGGGCCTCAACAGGGGCACTTCAGCACTGAGAGACCAAAGGCACATGACAGTAGCCTGCAGGATCGTCAATGTAATGTGTGTGTGTGTGTGCGCGTGCGTGTGTGTGTGTGTGTGTGTGTGTGTGTGTGTGTGTGCATGAAAACAACAAGAGACAGATGGCTGGCAAGTGATTTTCCCTTCGGCATTTCTACATGCCTATCCAGTCTTGTATTTGGGTCATCTGTTACGGTCAATATGAGTGACAGGATCAGTGGGGACAAAGCGAAGCAGTCCACACTGACTTCACTTCATAATTTCAATTTTCCAGTAAGGGAAACACTTAGTCAAAAGAGCAAAACGAACCATTTGCAAAGAGATACACTTAAACAACTCACTCTTTAGATGAATAAACCACATCTAAAATAGTTCCTAATTCCATTTTTTCACTCTATTATAAACTCTAAAGGAAAAATAAACAGTAAAACAACACTTTCTACACTTTGTCTTCTAATAATGACCTGATAAGATAAGCTTTGATACAAGGCAAATGGTTCCATTTAACTCCTTAGCAAGGCTTCCTAAATATGCATTTACCAGTCACGCCACCAGTGGGTAAATACACTGGAGTTTTAAAATACCAATTCCAAGGCAAAAGTATTGGAGAGAAGCTTTTAGCCAGAGATTAGCAGAATGATTGATCACCTCACAAGGGATTCTTATCATATCAGGTCCAAAATTCAAACTAACAATGACATTAAAAGACCAAGTAGAAGGAGTTCAGTACTTTTAAGGGGGAGGGAGTAGATTTTTAAAAATTATTTCTTTTAAATCTTCTGTTCTTTCCTTAAAATAATGACAGTTAAAATCACAATGAAGAAAATCTTAACAAAAACTAATCCAGGAATGTACTACAAAGAGTTTTAAGTATTTTATCCTTTTGTAGTAGTGACTGAAACCAGGAACTTTACACTACGCTACTCACCAATCCTATTTATTTTTGTTATTATTTTGAGACAGGGTCTTGTTAAATTGCCCATGCTGGGCTGGAACTTGCGATCTTCCTGCCTCAGCCTCCCAGACTGCCAGGATCCACCATGCACCAGGTACTTTTCCACTAGAGTGGAAATTTCTGCTGTGGAAATGTTTCTCCAACCTTCACACAATTATTGAGCAAAAGAATAGGTAAGATACCTATAAGTAATGTTAGTGATCAAGGCTGGGTGTACTAAACCCAAAATGGACAATAGAAAACATTTCAAGCATCGTCCACAAATACATTTCCTTTCTTCAGGAATTATTCTGCCTACATGAGCATTAAAATATGCAGAAATTACATTACCTTATTTATTTGTCTTTATGTCATAAAAGGGCATCAATTAGATAATATAAGCAAAATGAAATCAGACTTCAAACATTTGTTATTTACCTTTGTTTTCTCTGAAGTAAACTGACTCTTCTCAGAGTTATCTCTATGAGAAACTTACAGCAGTATTATTTCAAAAAAGAAAGAGGGAAAAATGATGCCATGTCTTTCTCAACAAACACAAGAAAGCACAGAATTTTGGGTGAGCAAGTTTTTTCCACTGCCCTAAGCACCAAATTTCTCTAGAAAATAAGAGCAATTACTTCAAGGAGTCATACACAACATGACATAAAATTTGGCAAAGGTTGCATATTTATAATCCCGGTGTTCTTCTAACCACCACTTAAGATTCAATACAGTCATTACACTATATTGAAAGCTAGGGAAGAGACAATAAAATAGGTTTTATGATCCGATACTGTGAACTCTACTCTTCCCTTGTTTGGTTCAACACATCTCAAATTGAGCACAGAAACACTTGTAAAATATTAAATTTTACCATAGGGAAATTGATTTTTGCTTTAAGAAAGTTTCATGTTACCACTTAATTTCAACCATGCTACATCAAACATTGAAAGTAATTATATATAGTTTATAAAGTCAACTTGATCACTATATTTAAAAGAAATGATAACTTCGAGAAGTACCACAGCAATAAGGTTTGAGCTAAAGCAAGATGTGGCCCTCCTAAAGTCAATGCCAGCTTCTTCAGACTCAAATGCAGTCTTGATTTAGTTAGGCAAGTCAGGCCTGAGAGCAACCTCTCGCCTCGCACACTGCTCTCTTCGCTGGCAGCACTGGCCTTCCTTTCTTTCAGAACTGAGTTTTTCAAAAGTTCCTGGGGGGCAGCAGAATCCACAGATGCAATTTAAGCAACGTGAATCTTTGTGGTCTGAAATGGAGTGGTAGAAATAAACAATTATCATCCTGCAGCTCCCAGTCAGCTATAGTACTTGGATAGAAAATATGTAAGTCGCAATTGTGAGCACACCTTGGTAATGAATCATGTTAACATACTGTGCAAAACAATAAATGAGTACTCCATAAACATGTCATAATTCCTAGGGTTCATAAAACTGAAGTTTGCTACTCTTAAGACTTCACATGCTAAAGAACATGTGTTTGCACAGGCAGTTGCACTAAGAAACCAAAGTAAAGTAGGTTTTCTAAATTGTAGCAAAATATGATTCTTATTTTAACCCTCAATATTGTATCAGCAATAAGGTCTATACATCATATGCTATCAAGCATATGATAGAGGAAAATCATTCCACTAATGTCATCTTTGTAGCTCAAAACTACAAGTGAGGAATTTTAACACTCAATTTGACCTGCAGCATGTGAAGAACTTGTAACAACTGGGAATCATCAAAGCACAACTCATTTATCATCACACTCGCACCAGTCTCCCCAAGTTACCAAAGCTTAACATTTCTGATCCATGACTCAGGAGCCCTGAATAAGCATTAGATCCACAGAAAAATGTAGTTTAATTTTTGCCTTAATTTTCAAACAATATTTTCTCCTGCCATGAGCTCTTTTAAGAACTGGATAACAATTAAGATTAGGAACAGGAATGAAAGAAGAATGCTTGATTCATCATAGTCTTCTAAAATTGTGACAGTGCTACAATTTTTTTTAATTAGCTTTATATTCTTGCTTTAAATGCCTACTTTTCAAACTGTCCCCAACAGAGCTACTTCACCACCACCCCAGCTCATTTTAGTGGAAAGCCACCCACCTTTGGAAACAAAGGCTTTTTCCATCAATGTCCTAGAAATAGCACACGCACCATCACACAGAATTAGAAGAGAAGCATCTTGGCTCATCTCACTCTTACAACATTTCTCAGTGTGCAGTGCAACCGTTAAAACCAGTAGGCTGTTTAAAAGTTGAGGAGAAGTTTATGCCTACCAGTGCCTTCCCATCAACTAGGCTATGACAGACACTACATAAAATGCATTAAGAAGGGCTTGTGGGCTATTTTTGCACCTATTATCAGGTGATTTCATAGCAGGCATGTGGCTGTGAACCAAGAATCGCTGATTTAAGGCTTCCTTCCCAGAGCATACTTTGAGCAGTAGGATGGGCACACACCAGAGAATGCAGGACAGGGCTAATTACCACCAGCAGACGAGTCTGCCTTGCCTCCCGCACTATCAACCACTTTGCTTAAGTTCACTCACTGCCTCGCCCTAACCCTGGGGACCCATTCACTTTCCCTAGCCCAGAGAGGCTGTTGAAAAGCTGTCAAAGTAAATCTGTGCTCACTTTTTGGATGGTTTAATTTCAATAGAGCATGAAACACCCCAGGACGTTTAATAAGTTTAGCCAGGCGTGCTGTTCTCCCTAATATATTTTAATTATGCATCTGTTTTAATTGTAATCAGATTAAGTCACCGGAAAGGCACAAATTAGAATTTTCCCTATTGGCTATTGGAGCTTTTCACCAGTTTCTAAACACTAACAACGTTTAAAAAATAGGTAGAGACACCAGCACAACTGTGACATTTTCCGGGAATCAATGCAGTTTCTTTGACAACAGAGTTCGAGTCTCATTAGCCATCCAAACTAACTCAAAAGCACAAGACAACTTCGGTCTCTAGGGGCGTCTTCTTCCCCAATTAGCACAAGAGAATCAGTAATGTCTAATGCAAAACTTCCAAACAGAAATGAAAGCCTCAGCCTCATGAAGTGCGGCCCCATAGACTGGTGAGGGAGGCTGTAGGGGGCTAGGGTGGATGGCGGAGATGCCATCAGCGGCGCTACCTTGGCCCGCCGTGAAACAACCTGCACGTCAAGAAGGAAAGTTGAACCAAAGAACGATCTGTCTTTTTCACTTTTCTGGCAACTGTCAAAACTTGCGCTTGCACTTGGGGAAATAAGTGTCTTATCAATAAAAGGAAACGGCACAGGGAAGATCTGTTAGGGGGCAAAGAGCGGCTTCCTTCCAGCGCAGACGTAAAATCATTTAATGTGCTTTTGTAGCACCAAGAAATACCTAAGACTTTTTCCTTTTTTTTTTTTTTTTAAGAAAAATACGTTCATTAAACAGTTCCCCTCAAATTGCCAGGATTTCCGCTAAGAAACTCAAGCGCCTGCCAACAGGCTAGAAGCAAGAGGCTGAACCTGCTGCAAACTCAGAGAGGAGCGGAAACTCCCTCGGCCCGCCCCGCGCTCGGGTCCCGCGCGTCCGCCCCAGGTGTCGAGGTTCGAGCGTCGCTAACCCTTCGGGCGCTGAACCAGCCCCTCCAAGGTGCACCCCGAGCCCAAAAGCGGGAGCTCGCCGCCAGGTCCCCAGGCGCGGCCATCGCCCCCTTACCTGTCATCGTAGCAGAAATCCGCACTCAGGGTGTTGAGATACAAGGCGAGCCCCAGAGCGCTGCTCACCAACTCTGCAATCATCTCTCCACCGCCTTCCCTCCGGCTCGGCTCCCAGCGCGAGGGCAGCAGCGGCAACAAAACACAGAAGCATCAATCCCCACCTTCCGCCGCCTTCTCCTCCCAGCTTCACTTTTCCCTCGCTTCCCCACCCTCGCGCCGCGCCCTCCCTCGGGTCCTTCCCATCCGCCGCTCCTCGCCTCCGCCTCCTCCGGCGCCCGCTCCCGGCTCCCGCGTCCTCTCGCCTGCGGGCTCAAGCCGCGCTCCCCATGCCGGCGCCCGCGGGCGGCGGGCGGCGAGCGGCGAGGCGATCGGGCTCCGCGCCCCGGCGGGTGCACAGCGCTGCTCCTCGGCGCGGCCCGGCCCCCGCCCTAACCCATGGCAGTGAGGGGCGCCCTAGGTGCGGAGTGGGACTCGGCGGAGGGGCGAGAGTGCGGCATGGGGGCCGAGGGGCCGGACCGAGCCGGGCTGTGGGACCCGCCGGAGGAAGGGAGACCGAGGCGGGAGGGCGGGACGGGGCGGGCCGCCTGCCCGCGCCGCCTCCGGGCGCACTGCTGCGGGGCGCTCCGACGGACTCGCGCTGCCCGGGCGGCGGCGGCACATTCACTCTTTATTAGCTCCCTCCCTGCCCCAGCCCGCGCTCCGGCGAAGTGAGAAGCCGCGGCTGGGGACGCCAGGAGCTCCCGCGTGGGGCTCTCGCCGCGGCCCCCGCGCCTGCGTGGCCAAGCCTCCATCGCGGCCCCGCCCCGCCCAGGCCCCGCCCACCGGGCCGCCGGAGACTCCGCCCCCGAGCAGCAGGCTCCTCCCCCGCGCCGCCCGCCTCCCTCCCGTTTCCTTCACCTTCGATTTCTGTCTGGAAAGCCCCGGGGACAAGGACGCCGCGGAGCCGCCCGCGCGCCCGCGGAGGGCGCCGCAGGAGCGCCGACGCCCAGGAGGAGGCGGGCCCGGCCCGGGCTGCGGGTGCCTAACGCCGGCGGGCGCAAGTCTGACCAGCCGGAGAGACTTCGGGGACCCGGAGCGAAAGCCCAGGTTTGGCGAAGGCTGCGGCCGGGACTGCCACCGACGGGCCCGCGCTTTCTCACGCCCGCCGCGAGGCGGGAGCCGGAAGGGACCGGAGAGCCGCGGGGACAGCTTGGGAGACGTCTCTGGACCGAGAGTGCAGCTCCTAACCTACCCTGACGGCGACCCCGGTGTCAGTGGAAAGACGTGTGAGGAGAGAACTGTTCCCTCAGTAGGACTGGAAAGAAAGGATCCCGAGAGCCCGCGGCGAGGGCGCCTGCCCTGGCCGGGACCCTCGCGCTGAGCCGCGTGGGCGACGCCGGGCTGCGGCCGCCGCCGCGCTCTCCTCAGGGCGAGGGCGCTTTCCTTTCCGCCCGGATGCAGACTGGGTGGAAGGCGTCCAACAAGATGAAATACGGGCTAGAAGAATGGCCCGGGTAGGACGAGCGCTGGGTACTAAAGTTGCGAGCAGAGAGGACTGTGCGCCACACCTCCTCCTGGTTTGTCCTCTGGACCCGACTGGTGGCGCGCTTGGACCGAGATGCGCACTACTGCAGCGCCCCCTGCTGCACCGCAGCCACAGGGCAAGGGAAAGCGGGTGATCGCGCTGATGGACTTGACCCCATGCAAAGAACAGCTCTCTCTGGAAAGGACAGTAAGCCTTGGAGCTCCCCGTATCCCTGACAGTGAACTGAACAGTTTGAGAGCCTACAAAACAAGACTGCCTCATTTCCTGATTTTACGAGGAAATCTGTGAAGACTGAAGAGACACAGATAAAGTGATAATCATTATGCATAAAGGAAGATTGGGTGCCCAGGGAAAAAACGAAAACAACTAGAAAGGAAGTACGTCATTAAAGGCAGTGATTGAGTCTGTTCATTGTTTAGAAGTATTTAAAGTCATATCAATTGATCCATGAAGGTCCTCTGTGTCTGGTGGGCTTATATAAGTATTGTAGTATGCTTAGAGGAGTCAGCATGTCTAAAGTAGGGTCCTGTAAAGTCCAACAGAAGTGTTTGCCGTTATTATTAGTCTTCAACTTACTCTTTTACCAGTTACCTAAACCTAGGTACCTATCTCCAAAATACATCCCACTCTACCATATTCCTCCAAGCTGGTCTCGTTTCCTACATAGACTAATGCTGTGGCCTTCCACGTGGTCTCCTCTACTCTGTAATCCCTCCTTCCGTCTTCAGATGTAAGACAGGAGATTTTGAAAACTGTAAACTCCTCTTGAAATGTCTGCGGACTGTTCATTGCACGCTGAATACAGCACCAGTTCTTACCATGGTTCCTTTGGTCCTAAGTAGCTCTACCCTTTACCACATGTGCACAAAGCATACATCCTTTTCCTCAGGTTCTCTCTGGCTCCTTCGCATCATTAGGTCTTAGCTTAAATGCCACTGCCTCAAAAAGTCTTCCCTCGCTCAGTCTAAAGCAGACACACACACACATCAGTCTTTGTTCCACCACCCTGTATTATTTTCTTCACAGCATGCATCAGAATCTACAAGTTCTGCTCAAATAGAAGTTCCCTGAAGGTGAGAACCTTATCAATCTCATTTTCCACCTAATACCTATAGCCTATGTCATCTGGGCTTGTTTAAAAAAAAAAAAAAAAACTTTCTTAAAAACTTGACAACAAATAAGTAATGTAATTAGGAGAAGGGACATGTTATGGTTTATGTTCAAATGTTCCCCCCCCCAAAGCCTCATGTAATCATGGGGCAAACTTCTAGAGTTTGTGATGAATTTCAAAATCCATTGCTGGGATTATGGGTGTGAGTGCTACACCCACCCTGGGGCAGATAGCCTGGGTGCAGTATAAGGGAGGGAAAGAGGCTACTGTCTTCTGTTGCCACTGCTCCCCCCTTTTTGCTCTTGTTCTTTTGCTGTTTTCTGAAGCCATGAACTATTGCCCTCTGCCTTGTGTCACTCTGCCTTGGAGCCAACTGATTATGGACTGAAGTCTCCACAAACTGTGAGCCATATACACCTTTTCTTCCTTAACTTGAGGTGGCAGGTATTTTTTCGCAGCAATGAGAAAAAAGTAGCCAAAACAAAATATAACTAAAAGTCTGCAAATGTCCATCATGAGAAAAAAACATTATCAGTCAACTTCAAAGATGGTGAAGAATTAACAAAGGGAAGAGAGAAGAAGTAGGTTAAAAATTCTTAAGCGTGTATTAGGAACACCAGGGTGAGAAATCCACACATGAACAACTATTCAATAATTAAGAAGATTCAGAGGCATAGAAATACTAAAGAGCTTTGGGTTCATTGTGCTAAAAGCTTGTAAGCATTTTCAAGAGCTGTCTCAAATCTCCAGTGGTTTTAAATATTTATTTCTTCCTTCTTCATCTTCTTTCCTCCTCTGTGCACCCTCCAACTCCTCTGAATAGGAAATTTAGAAGATTACTGTGAGGTATGCCATAAATGGTACATCCTGCCATCCTTGATAAATGAAAGGCTCAAAATCTAGCTATGCTTGAGAAATCCGGTTGCTTTCAACAAATTTTCTATTATAATTTAACATGGGCCTCAATATCTTTCCAGTGCATTAAGCCACAAGCCCTTTCACATTGCTCTCCGAGGGCTGAGAAGCAGCCAGTTCCTGCATTTTCTACCTTCCTTGAACAGTTACGAAGGGAAATCGGATTAAAGATGTCATCACTATCCTTGGAGATCATTTAAAATCTGGGGAAACAGTTTTTAATTTACTAAGGTGTATTTACCAATGTGAGATTGCTGTTTCAGTTGTGAATGTATGTGTGTCCTATTTAAAGCTACTGTTGCTTTCCACAGATGAAGGAAATTAGGCTGGTTGGCTTCAGTTTTCTACCATAGACACAAGACTGGCCAAAAAAGTGCTAAGCCCTTATTTTCCCAAGTAAGTTCCACACATCTGCTACCTCACCACTTCCTCAATGAATTCCTTTTTATAGTCAACCAGACCTATGCTGCATTTGTTCTGCATTCCCAGTCCTTTGTTGTATAATTCATACCTTTGCGGTGCCAGTCCCTCAGGGTAAAGATTTCCTTATTTGCCTAAGACATTTTTAGTTTATTGTGCAATACCATCTTCCCTTTGGGTGTTGCATAAATATTAACTAAAAAATCCACATCTGGTGTTGGTCGTCATTTCTATTTGTCCTAATATAACTTCTCTTTGAACAGTTCACTTGGAAAGTGAGCCAAGGGTGAAATGTGGCACATAAATTCTCCTGCGCTGCACTGAATGCTTTTTAAAATGCCCACAGATTTGGCTATTTATGAACAGAAGATTTGCACCTCTTCCTTATTCTCTCAATTCTAAAATTGTAGCAGGCCAAAGTAATTACCATCTCCCATATGTTTTCTGAAAAGGTATCCAGGAATCTCCTGCTAAAATCTTAACAGATTGACTAGGTAGCAGAAAAACACTAGCCCAGCAGGTGAAACTGCCTATTTAGGGAGGTCAGAACAGAGCTCTCTGCTGTGGGATTCATAAGCTCTGGGCTTTGCTCAGGAAATAACCCTGCAGGAGAAAAACAGCAGAGCATGGATGAAATGTGGGTCAGGGAGCTGAAAGAGGCTCACAGGCTGCTTGGCTAACTAATGACAGCAAATGCGCTGGCTGCACATGTCACATTTAGATGTTTCCCAGCATACCATAAAGTGCTGCCCTGCAGACACTGTAGTGTATAACACGGCTTTATCTCAAGGCTTGTGATCCATTAGGAATATCATTAGGACACTACAGCCACAGAAACAGATTCTGTCACCTCTGTCACAAAATTGGACTGTTAAAAACCAGCTGCTGCCAAAATAATGATCACTTTAAGAGATTCCATTTCTATAGCTTCCAATTCAGAGACTGTGGGGTTGGGGGAGAGAAGAGGAGGAGGAGCATAGGAATAACATGTTAATATCTAGATACGGATAATTGCAGAGATGTTGAGGCTAACGATAGAATTCAGACACTCAATCAAGAAAAGCACGGACCTCCTTCATAGAATCTCTCTGAATGCATTCACATGCACTGGTATAAACAGTGATCAAAAATATTCTAAGGGCCTGAGAAATAGCACAGAGTCTTGGATAACAGTTTCAATAAGCCCTAGATTCTATAAAATAAAAAAAGTTGAAGAAAACTGAGCTCTGATGTGAATGTCAGTTTAAAATAAGCAGTCAAATAACCAGTTATGGGCTGGTGAGATGGCTCAGTGGTCTAAAGCACCTACTTGGAACAAGTTTAGCAAAGCACAGGGACCACGGTTCAATCCCCCAGCACCACATGCCAGCCAGCCCCCGCCCCCTGGTGGGCTGAGCTGGCCACACACACACACACACACACACACACAAATAAATAAATCAAATTAAAAACAAAAACAAATAACCAGTTATTCATGAATTTTGCCTGGCATTCAGCTCAACACAGACCTTTTAAGCCAGCTTTATTCCACAGAACTTTCCATGGTGGACATTCTATACCTGTGATGTCCCCTATAGTAACCATTGCCTACACATAGCTATTGAGCGGTTGAAATTTTTTTTCTGTATTAATGAATGTAGTGGCATGTGACCAGTGGCTACTGTATTAGCAAATCTGAGGCGGTGAGGTGAGCAGCCCCAGACTCTGGGCATTACAGTAGACTGCACGTGAAGCCAGTTGCCTACATTTTCACTCTGGTCAAGGCTTTATAGTCCTGAGTCAGATTTTCTGACTTGCTCTGCTCCCTGCATTTATTTATATATAAAACAGCTGCCAGCTACTCAGTACTTTCAGTTATGATTCAAGGAACTGAGCATATTGCATTTCTTATCTCTCTTCCTTCTAAAGAGGTAATTGCCATTACTATCCTTATTTTACAAATCAGGAAATGGAGGCTAAAAGGTATAATAAAGGTTGCTTAGACCTAAAAGCCTCCAGGTGGTAGCACTAACGCTTGAACTTAGGTCATTTAAATCTCAAAGCCTACGCTTTAAGTGTAATCTTGCTGCACACTCTCCCATTCAGAAGGCCACAGGGCCCCTTAGGATCTGCTTCAAGGGGAGGAATTCCCAGCTACAGCCAAGGTGCTTGGTGTTCTGTATTCGGCATCCTCTACCTTCCCTCAGTTCTCAGCTCGTTTCAGATAAAATGCTGTAGAAATCTTTTTTTTAAAATGACTTTTGCCGGGGCTGGTGAGATGGCTCAGTGGTCTAAAGCACCTATTTAAAACAAGCTTAGCAAAGCACAGGGACCACGGTTCAATCCTCCAGCACCACATGCCAGCCAGCCCCCGCCCCCTGGTGGGCTGAGTTGAGCTGGCCACACACAC